GCGGGGCCAACGGGGGCGGGGGAGGTTACAGGATGGGGCGCGCGCGCGAGCGGGGAGTGGGTCATGGTCGCGGAGACTGGGCCGTTGCCGGGGTTGGTGGCGTCCGGAGTAGCAGGTACAGCTTCGGGTGGCGCGGCTGAGAGAAAAGCAAGGTGGCAAGCAGCGCTATCGAGGCTCGGAAATACGAAAACCGGGTCACCGGACCAATTGAAATTGATGACAGTATTGGCCGGTATGGCGTGGGCCGTGTTGTCTGAGAGTTTGGCCCCTGTATCCGCCCCGTGCCCTTTTCCCCCCCATGCACAAACTAAACCAGCGAGAGAAACCCTTTTGAGTGCCCCCCCCCCCCTGAGGGAAGAGATGATAGATGCTACCGGAGGTGATGCCGGACATGTCGTGCGGAGTCTGGGTGGACGTTTGTTGGCGCCTCATATGGATGCGAAACGGATTGCCGGTAGTTTAAGGAGCTTTGAACACGTGGGCGTGCTGGTAAAAATTACAGAAGTGGGGGTAGACCTGAAGCATGAGTTAGCGTACGGGAATCATCCGAGCGCGCAAAAACGGCACGGAGCGATTTGGCAGAAGGTGGTAGAGGACGTGGAGGCAGGCAGGGCGGTGCTGTTCAGGAGAGAACATGCTGAAAAAAATCCGGGTTTGCGCGCGTCCCCGGTCGGGGTGGTGGAAGAGAAAGAGAAACTTCGGTGATACACGATCTGCCTATACCAGTAGCGGAAGCAACGGGGGGGGGGGAAGGGCGGCCAGTGAATGCGACCACCTTTATTGGAGAAATTCCGGCATGCGGGATGGCGACTGTAGTGAAGGAGGTGTTAGAACGGTTCCTGGGGTTGAGAGCTAGGTATCCAAGGAGGACAATTTTGTTGCAAAAAATGGACGTGACGTGCGCGTTTCGCCAAATTCCAGTAGACCCAGTAGGGGCGCCGGCTTTCGGGAATGTGGTAGGGGAATTCCTGGTAGTTGACCTTCGGTTGCAGTTCGGATGGCGTGGCAGTCCTGGGTGGTGGGGGCTAGTGGCGTCGGCGATAGAACACGTACACCGACAGACAAGAGACCCAATACGGTTGACGCCCCCTGGGGTACGGGCAGCGGCACACATAAAGATAGCTCCGCCAACGGGGAAAGGGACAGTGCCGATTCCACCGCAGTGCAAGGTGCAGCCGACGGTAGGAGGGGGGAAGAATGATCCGGCCTTTGTGCGGTTTTTCGTGGATAATGCGATTAGTGTGGAAGTGCAGTGGGAAACCATGTAGTATTAGGGGAGAGGGATGAGCAGGAGGAGCCAGTGCAGCCCGCAAAGAAGATGACAGACTGGAGTACGGACCATGTGGTCTTCAGATAGTTGGTGGATACCGAAGCAGGGACGATTTCATCGCCGGAACAGAAAGTGCAGGAATGTAGAGAGAGGTAGCGGAGTGGCCAGCGCACAGGAAGCAGGCTACCGTGCGCGAGGTATTGGTGTTGGCAGGTAAGCTTGACCACGCGGCCTTCGTTATCCGGCCCGGCCGGTAGTTCTAACACAGGCTTCTGCAGCTTGTGGGACTGCATCTAAATGGGGTGGAACGGACCAAGGGGAGGGACGCGCGGGGTGGACATAGGAAGAAGGCGCAAGCACGCAAGGTAGTGAAGCTGACATGGGAGTTTATGGCAGAGGTGGGGTGGTGACGGTGGTATCTAGGGGGAGGGGTGTGGGAGGTGGGCAGTAAGATAACGGCGGCGTCGTTCAGCTTTGCCAAGGAAGCTCCTTGGAGGAGCTGGTTTTCGGATGCGTCAACGAGAGCGTTGGGGGGGATTCGCATGGAAACGAGGGTGTTCCGGTCTGACACACGTGCACACACTCGACTGGCTGCGAGTTTTTTTTGACGCCCGACGTGATCCTCCAAGACATGCACGCGTAGAGAGGGTTTGATAATCATGGATGGAGTGGAAATTTGTGGCGAAAGAGGCTCACACATATAGTAGGACAACGCCCCCGACACGGAATGGTTGTTCGCGACGTGGACTGTGTGATCATTACGAAGGCTGCTGCGGTAGTACTCGTGTGTGGATTGACATGTGATATAGGTGGCAAGTGGCCTTTCCGTGGGCGTAGACCTTCGCGGTATCTCCCGACATACTTTGGTGAGTTGGGAAGTGTTCCGACTTCAGAATGCGTCTTTCCAGCAGTGAATTTCTTGCGGCTGACTTGGTGCTTGTTGTGCACCTGGTGCTTGTCCTCCTCTGTTGCTTGTCGAGAAGAAGCAACCAGAAAAATGATCTGACCATCTCTTCAAGCCTGTCAACCGGGTCAGCCGTGCTGGTCCAGAAGCACTAGGCTTGGGACAAATCAACAATGGTAGCCTGAGAAAGCTGTGCACAATGCGACCCAACGCAGATGCCGGAAGACAGCAAAATAAAACATGGAGAGCAATGACGAGGTGGTAGGGCAACGGATCCTCGGACGACGTATATTTGAGAGGAATGGGTCTCACAGCCAGAAGTGAACCCGGCGTCTGCTCGCCGTGTGACACATGAATAACCGCAAAGGTGAGGTGCGGAGTTTATTCGCGAGAAAAAAAACAGTGCCCGGCGATAGTGTGTCACAACTGACCGGTGGTACTCGAGCGCGGAGCCACAACAGACATGGGCGCCCTAGCCTTTACAATAAGGGCTGACACCCACACCGCCCAAGATCGTTCGAGCTACTGCCGGCGTCCGTTGTTATTGTTGTCTGGTTTTCGCTGAGTCGGCAAGAGAGGATCGCACGAAAGACGGGCTAGGTTGCTGTGCACGGTTAGCGCTAGGTTGCTGTACGGCGAAAAGCTAGATTGCTGCGCACGAGTCGCAGCTACCTCGACATCGACACGTTCGAATAGGTGGAGTGCGAAGCGCTACTGGGACACAGCAGCGGATGTTCTTGTAATTTGTTGCCTTGGGTCACCCGCAGAGGCTCTTGCACTCATATTTAGGCTCTCTCTTTGACGTGGGCTGAAATTCACTCACTCACAGGGGGAGCCTTGCTGGACTGATGGACTGGTATCACGAAGGTGGCAAGCGCACCCGCCACCTACACGTACGTTGTACTTCCCCTGAGTTTCATTCGTCCCCTCTCTTTCGTTGCAGCCTCAACGCAATCTTACCCCCTCTCACCTTCGGTAGTCATGGCAACCGATGTGCAACCGCTGTGCGTGCCTGCTGGTGCGACTCGTCTGTCGTTCGGGACTTCGGGGTCAAAAAGGAGACCTATAGTTGCTACCACAGACGCCCACGGGAGACCCTATTTGCAGAATGATCCTGCAACGAAATGCTGCAATGGTATATGACAATAACAATAGACCATTGGATGCTAACAGAGGAGCGCAGAGCTACGCGAGCCTACCCGTGGTTTTCAAAGTATGCAGGCGTGCATGTAGCAACCCGGGGACAATAATTTAGGCCCCTTTTCCGCCCCACTTTCATCACGCTCGCATACGACAACCGGGGCGGAGCCCGCTGTCGTACTCGCAGGGCAGGACCACACCATCACAAGGGAGGTTTTTTGCCAGGACAGCGCGGGATTTATTCACGGTGAGTCCTTGTGCCATGACCTCGTGAGGGCAAGACCCCGAGGTAGGTGCGAGCCGGAATCCGACTACCCCGCACGTCGCAGGCGGGTCTGTCTCGCTGGAGTGGGGGCACTTCCTGCCGTCGCGTGTGCCGTCAGTACATGTCTCAGGCTCTCTTGGGAAGAAATCCGTCTGGAAAATGGTCTCGTGTACACAGATTACTCGCCAAAAATGCGGACCATAATCTCACCCCCAAGCGAGGGACCCTCTCCCAGAGAAAGCAGCAGCAGCAGCAGCGTTTTTTTTTTCACACAAAATGCATGCGCATGTTTTTCGCCTCGGATGAAAGTGGGGCGTGTGCAACTCCAGAACACGCCGATGACGACCCGGATGGGCTAAATAAACATAGGGCCTTCTGTCCCTCTACTTTTAACTTTGATGCTGTGGTGCGACCACGAGTCTCCGAGACAGTATGATGAGNAAATGCATGCGCATGTTTTTCGCCTCGGATGAAAGTGGGGCGTGTGCAACTCCAGAACACGCCGATGACGACCCGGATGGGCTAAATAAACATAGGGCCTTCTGTCCCTCTACTTTTAACTTTGATGCTGTGGTGCGACCACGAGTCTCCGAGACAGTATGATGAGGGTTATTGTTCTCCCGTATCTTGAACGCTGAAGGTGAGATGCATGTACGCGCATGTTGAGCGCATCGTCACAGGTGTAGATGGACTCTGTGACACACATGTACCGGTGTACGTGCATGGCGGTGTCATTTTGCGGTTCGTGAACGCGTGAGCCCTGCCGACCACGGATTCTAACCTTCAATCTTACGCCGTAATGTCAGCTGTAGTAGTTAGGCTCGGAGGCACTGCCGATCATGGGAGATGACGACATAAATGATATACACATATCTCACACATTGCTACTCCTGATCCGGTCGATGTGTACTATAATAGGTACATACGAGAAGAGAGCAAAATGCATTCGCCAGAAGTGCATGGATTGTGGTAAAAAAAAATGCGTTTTGGTTTTGGATATGCGGACCGTTATTCCCTCTCAGTTCCTCCCTGTTGAAAGAGGCAGTTAGCCATGTGGAGATCACGTTGACGGGCACCCTGTCGCTTGTGGTAGGTATGCCTTGTACTCGATGTTCCGCGCCCGAGAGGGCTCTTGCTGACCGTGAGTGCAGACAATATTTAAGTATTGAGGCTTTACAATACAGATTTTACAAATACACTGTCTATCAATATTATCGTTATACGTGTAGTACAATGTATCTAAACTACTGATGTATCTACTGCCGCGAAGAGAAGCGGAAACCTTCCGCATTCCGTGCCCCCGCGGGATTATACTACAGCTTAGGCGACGGGCGCTAGCGGCATTTTCACGGTGGTTGTGTGTGCCGGATCTCATAACTTGATCCGTGAACATGTGCATGCATAAAATATTTCCAAGTTCCGGTGTACGTTATCATCCCCACTGCGATGGCTTCCGACAGGCTGAATTGATGCCTTTAACGCGGGGGAAAGATACGGGGGATTCGAGGAAACGAGCGCATGCCACGTCCAGCTCGAGCCATGTTCCGGTTGAGAGCAGTCGCGTCGCTCCGAGACAACGGGTAAGTGCTACACCATAGAGTCCGGGGGAACGGGTTAGGACCCATGTCTCCAGCGTTCTTGAATACCCTGGTCTAGTCTGCGGTGCGATATATGATCGTGTACACGAAACGCGCGAAGACGACTCCGAGAGGGGCGCACGCAGTCCCGATCCACCTCTTGTCCGACCCGTTTATTATGGCGTTCGTCATTGTATAGGTGCTATCAGGGACGATGGTACGTATCATCGAGCAGATCCAGCGCGACCTCTTGACCGAGGGAAACCCCCCGAGTTGGAATTGGGGTGCTACGCGGCACTCGCGTCGAGGATGGACGCCTTCGTCGACATCGTCAACGGCAAGTCATAAATCTTCTTTTTATCCCAAGTCATACTGCTCGTTCCCGTCGCGGTACAGTACGTGAAAGGGCCTGTCGCCTGCCAACTAGTTTCCTATATTCCTTGTAGCCATGAGCATTGCGTTCTCTCCGTGCGCGCCATATTTCGCCTTCTCACCCGACAGACCCACTGCCCCCATGGGAATGTGTGCGTGTTTGTGTGTGTGCGTATACATGCAGGGAACTTCGGCCGGTCGGACTACGCGCGCAAGAACGGCCTCGACAAGATGGTGGGCTACATCAGATCGGCCGACGACTCGAAACTAGAAGAACTCATGGACATCCTGCGGTTTTTCGACGAGTGGCGGGCCTCGCTGGAGGCTAGACCGACGCTGGGCGGCCGCGCCTGGAAGGCGTACTTCATCACCGACCACTCGTGGACCGACATCCGGGTGTGCATCCTCGGCACCGTGTATGTGTCGATACCTGTTCGAGAGAGACTCGAGGTCCAAGATCTCCCCGTTGAGCGATGTTCCCCACTTCATCAACCTTCGCTATATAGGCCAGGTATTACGTGCAAACAAGCTAGGCCGGCCCGAGATGCGGCATAGTTTGTTCCGTCTTATTCAGCCTGTG